CCACGGTTCTGCATCATCTCGGGGAACCAGCTGCTCATGCTGGATGAGGATGAGGTGAGCAGAGCAAGGAGGCTGGGAATTGTCCACGGGTAGTTGGGGAGACCAAAGAGAAAGATGGGGTGCATCCTCAGTGGAGAGGAGACACAGGAGGGCTGATAAAAGCGCAGCGAGCTCAGGGAGGTGAGTTGGGTTGGGACAGAGGCACAGTCCTTCTGTCACCTGGGCCACAGGGTCTTTGAGAGCGTGTTGGGCAGATGTGGCTCTGAAGTTTTGGGTTGAAGATTTGACCACATCTAGTGTGGAGCAGGCTAGAAAGGAGAAGGGGATGGGGAAGTGGAAGGGATGTAGAAATGGGGGGACATCCTCCCTCCCCACTCCTGCTCCCACTCTTCTATCAGGGGTACAGTGGAGGAAAGGGAAACTGAGGGCTCTAGGCAACAGGCAGAGGATAGTGGGGTGTGGGGTAAGTGAGAGGGGTTGGGGGCACCAGGTCTTAGCATGGGCAGCAGTGAACACTGGCAGGCTACCTGCACTCAGTGTAAACCAACAGCCCCCCAACGGGACTTGCTGGACACGGGGAGGAATGTAAGGAATGGGGGCCTGGGGAAGGCAGAGGCAGAGCCGGACTGCTGGCCCGGGTGGAGGTGGAGAAACAGAAGAGTCCTATGGGAGGCAGAGACCTTGTAAGGAGACATAAAGGCCAGAGAAGGTTTCGTTCTAATCTGGGAGCAGGGTCAGCTGCAGAGGGTCCAGCAGAGCAAGGGCCATACCCCAGTGCTGTGCCCCAGCAGGGGGCTGATTTGAGGATGAACTTTAGGAGTGGTGGGCAGCCAGGGGAGCCTGAGGCTTGACGGCTTGGAGATGGCCCAGCGAGGCAGGGCTGGAGCAGGGGTTAGGGTGCACCAGGGTGTAAGGGTCCTGGGGTACAGGTGAGCCGCCTGAGTAGAGAGCTTTCACCCCACAGAGTAAAGCAGTGGCACCTAGGCAAGGACACCGGGCTGCTGTGGGGAGAGGTGGCCTGGAGGGTGTTGTCTAAGTTCTGGGTCCTGGAAAGCAGCTGAGGAATGCACTAGTGGGCATCAGCCTTGGCCAAGGGCCTGGAGTCTGCAGGATGAATTGGAAGAAATGGAACCAACAGGAGCAGGGGTGGTTGTGAGGGTGAAGGTACAGGACTGGGCGCAGGGTGAAGAAATGACACAAAGAGGCACACACTGAGGAGCCCAGTGGCCACTCACCCGAGGGGCATTCGGGGTGGCTGGAACCTGGGGCAGGAAGGCGGGGCTGAGCTGGAGCAGGGAGTGGGTGGACCTGGGAGGATGGCAGCATGTAGAGTCACCGTGGGCTGGGGCTGGGGCGTCCAGCTCCTGGGGCTCCTGGACGGTGAGGAGGTTGGGATGGACCTGGAGCTGAGGCTTGAGAGGTCCGGTGGGGGTGAGGGAAGGAGACCGGGGCGGGGGGAAGGGGAGGTTGGGTCCCAGTCTGGCCAAAAGCCGGGCCGTGGGCGGGAGACAAGCTGTGACTCCTGATTATAAATGCAGCTTCTGCTGCCCCCGTGACAGCTCGAGGGGGAGCAGCGGGTACGGGCAGTGGGGGTTGGCAGGGAAGCAAGGAGCGTGGACCAAACGAAGGTCAAGGGGAGAACGGATCGGGAAGTCGCTGGCTTCCCGCGCGGTTGCGGGGCGCGGAGGAGGACTGGGGGGAAACTGCCAGAGGGAGGGCCGGACGTCCCCGCCCCGAGGCCTGACACACCCCGCATCCCCTAGATACACCCGCTTCTGATCCGGGACCGGAGGAGCGAGTCCAGCCGCAACAAACTGCTGAGGCGCACCGTCTCCGTGCCGGTGGAGGGGCGGCCCCACGGCGAGCATGGTACGGCGGCCGGGCAGGCACGCGCCGGGGGCGGGGCTGGGGGCGGGGCTCCGGGGCGGGGCTGGCCGGGGATGCATCCCGGGGGCGACGGCGCCCTCGTCTGGGCTGTGGAGCGGCACCAGGGCCGCGCATCCGAGGCCCTTGCGCGTCCTTGGTCCTCTCCACGTCCCTTTTCCTCTCCAGCAGCGAAGTTTGACTATTTTCCTGGTGCTTGTAAAAATAGTCTCTTTAGATCTGTAGCTTCCTGTCCGAGTGCGCCTGCCCCTGCCCCTGCCCCTCCCAGGCCTCAGTCTGGCGTCTCGGCGAGAGTGACCCAGTTCCAGCCCTCCCCCGACCTCTGTCCCACCCCCATGCTCCCGATTCTTCTCCCGAGACCTTCAGGCCTGTGGTCCCTCCCTCTTTTCTTGCCCCCTTTTTTTTGCCTCTTCTCATCAACTGCTTCTATTTTCTACATCGTTTCGCCCCCTTTTCTTTTTCCTCTCCGATTCCTCTTATTCTCTGCATCCCTCTAGAGCCCCCATACTTCCCCACGGCCCTCAGTGGAAGTCCGTCACTCCCATCGCCTGGCTTTCTGTCTGCAGAGCTCTCAGCTCAGTCTGTCTCTCTTAACTCTCTCCCTCTCTCCATCTGTCTCTTCCCCTCCCTCCCCCTTTTTGCCCCCCACCCCCCTCTTTAGTCATTTAAAAAAAGATTTTTGTCTTCCTGAGAAGTTCGCTTAAAAGGGTTTCCATGGGAACAGTGAGGGAGATGAAGGCAGAGAACAGATCTGCAGCCAAGGTGCAGAGAGACGCCCTCGTCCCCGAAATCCCCTCGCCAGTGCCCCCTTTCTCTCCCAAGATCTGGGGGCCCTGACCCTCCAACACCCCCCCCCCCGTTGACCCCATTCTCCTGCCAGCCCCCAAACCCCTCAGGGATCCAGGCTTCCAGTTTCTCATTTAGCCAGTGGCCTGTTCCCATGCCTGGGTTCCCTCCAGCCACCTTCTGATGGGTCCAGGCCTCACTGCCCTTCCTTGGGGGCCAGCTGTAGACCTTGGGTGGGAGGTCAGGGATTCCTGTCGTTGTCATGGAAACCTCTGACTGTGAGGGCAGTAGGTAACATAGCTGAGGTCAAGCCTGGTGGTAGTGGTGCTGGTGGACACAAACTGATGCCTGCCACACACGTGTGTGCACGTATCTGTGTGATTTAGTGCCTAGTGTACGCGTTCCTGTGCGCGTGTACACCTGTGTGCCCAGGTCAGAATGGTCACTTTCTCACAGGACATGTTTACTGTGGGTCCTGTGCTCAGACCACATATTCCCATCGTTTTGCATTCCCTGATCTCACAGTCTGGGGTCTCTGACATGGGTCTGGCGGGTTCGGAAGTGGGTGGTAGGGTGGTACTCGTAGGTGGCTGTTGCTGAGCAGAGCTTTGGTGAGGGTTGGGAGGGGCATCCAGTGTAGAGATATAGCTAGCTAGATACAGATATATTTGAGGAGAGGGTCTGTGAGCGTGGATAGCTGACTGGGGTCTGCAAAGGGACTTGGAGCGTGTGGAGGGCACGGCGCATGTGCGGGGAACATGGGGTGGTCGAGGCTGGGGGTGGGAGTGGAGGGCTAGGGTCTGTGAAGGTGTTTGCTGAGGCTGTGGACTCTCCAGCCCGGGAGAGGTCGCCGGACCTTCTAGGGGCAGCGGAATCCAGGGCTCCTCCTCTGCTGGGTGGAGCCGCGAGCCCCCATTCCCACCGCGGTTTTATTTGGGGGGGTCCTTTTCAGGAGGAATGGTGGGAGGCCTAGGTGGTTTTGGGGGTCCCCTTGCCCCCCTCCCCCGTCTCTCTCGCGCTGTCTCCGGGCGACGGGGCTCGTGACAGAGGCGGCCACGGCAGCAGCGGTCGCCTAGCAACGGCGGCGGGGCCCGGGCAACGGCGGGAGCGGCGGCGGAGGGAGCCGTTCCCGCGGCCGTCACCGCGCGGCCGTCCCGGCCGTCCTGGGCCCCGCCGCCGCTGCCGCTGCCGCCGCCGCCGCCACCGCCGCCGCCGCCGCCACCGCCTCCGCCGCGCCGGGCCGTGCGAGCCGGGCCGCACCAACCCCTCTCCCTCCGCACCCTCCCCTCCCCCGCGCAGGGGCGGGGCCCTTCCCCCACCGGGGACACCCTTGACCCTCCTGGGGGGCGGTACGAGGTAAGGGCGGGGCCCGGCAGACCAGGAGCGCGCGTGGGGGGTGCGCCGCGCGCGCGTGGGGCGGGGGCGCGCGTGTGCGTGGGCGCGAGGAGGGGGGTGGGAAGCCGCGGCGGCGGCGGCGGCGGCGGCAGCTGCTCCCTCCGCATGTTCTCGCTGCATCTTCCGAGTGGGGGGAGTTATGGTAACCGGAATGGGGGTGTTGGAGGTCGGGGGTCCGCACGGCCTCGTGGGGGCAGGGTTGCGAATGCGTGGGGGCAGCCGATGTAGTGGGGGTCTTGGAGTCCCCATGCTGGGGCAGCCCGTGTGTTTGCGTGTGCGTTCGCGTCCGTGCCCGTGTCCCCTGTGTGTTGGTGCCATGTGCACACGGAACCCAATTCCTCGTGCACACATGTGCAGTGAGTCGTATGCAAGCTTGTCTGGTGTTAGCCTGCCTCTGCCTAAAGGTCTTGTTGGACCAGCTAATCGCTTATAGTGCAGCCCGTTCGTTGGCCATGCTGACCCATGTCGCCTCTGACCCCGATCACGCACGTCCCTGGCTGGGGCTCACCTGTCAGCCCCTCCCTTGTGCAGGAATGTGTGGCCTGCAGGATGAGCAGAATTGTCTATGTCCCTGCTGGCAGGTGTGTGTCTTTGCATATGTGTTCTGGCATTGGCCTGAATATCTGTGTCAGGTCCAGCATGGGTGTCCAGGGTATGTCTGGATGTGGGTGGCATGCAGTGGCGGGGTGGAGTGTGTGTCCCTTGAAATCTTAGGGTTGGTGAAGCACCTTTGGGAAGGCAGGTGGGAGACCCTGCCTGGCCTGGGAGTGGGGACAGGAAAAAGCTCAAGAGGAAGCAGTGGGGTTAAGAGGAGGAGTGGGGAGAAGAGGGCACAGGGAAGAGAGCAGCTTCTAGAGAAAGGGAACTCGGGACGGAGCAGAGCAGAGCAAGCCAGACTTAGAAGAGGGAAGAGGGGGTGGGCTTCAGACCGGGGCTGGGATGGAGATGGTGGGCACTGGGTCTGGGCCCAGGGGCAGAGCCAGGAGAGAGCAGGCCTTGCTCAGGTGAGGACTGAGGGGGCTGGGAGAGGACTGGGGTTCACTGGGCCTGGAGGATGGGGAGGCCCACAGGGTACAGGGCCTCACTACAGGCCTGTCTTGGCAAGGAGCGCCCTTAGAGGGTCCTAGAGGTCATATTCCTGTAGGGAACGCTGCCCCCTGCTGCTCTGGCCCCTGTCCAACTGCATCTTTCTCTGACAGTCTTTCCCTCTTGCTCCTCTGAGAGCCCAAGGGTGTGGAGAGCACAAGGCCAAAGGGAAGGTTAAGGGTTTGGAGGATCCAAGGGGGCAGGGATGCTGTGGGAGGGCAAGATCAGAGATGTCAGAGGGGCGGGAGTCTAAGCCCTTCTCGGTGTGTGCGCGCGCGCGCGCGCGTGTGTGTGTGTGTGTGTGTGTGTGTGTGTGTGTGAGCGCGACTATGTATACAGGGTGTGTACATGTGTGGGTGTGTGCACAATGCCTGTGTTACGGGGCTGTGTAGGTGGCTGTGATGTGTGTGCATATGTGTATACATCATGCAGCGATGGGACACAGAGACCCAGCCAGTGGTGTGTGCTTTTCAGGTTTGCTCTGTGTGCATGCAGTGTTGTGTGCTGTGTTCTCTGTACATGTTGCTGCCTGCAGCACTAATAACAGGATGTCCTGTGTTTCTGTCACTCTGCCCCCTTCTGTGTTTCTGCTATTCTCTTCCTTGCAACAGTGAGTCTTTGTAAGCATGTGTGTGGGGCTTCTGCGTACCTGTGTGAGTTCCTAGGTCTTGGCTCCCGGTGCTATTTGCTTCTAAGGTTATATTGCTTCCAAGAACCAAGCAAACCAATTAGCAAATTCTTTTTTCTTCTATTCATGCTTTGGTTCCAGAGCAGAATTTTAGTGTCTGGAAAGTTAGACTTTATGCTTTTCTTGGGCATGTGAAAATAAAGGCTGAGCCTTGTTCCCTGAAGTGAGAGAGAGGCAGCCATAACGGAGAAGTGCGGAGAAATGACAGGAAAGGCGGTGTCCAGGACCTTTGGACACACTTGTTAGCCTGTAACAGAGCAGTAATGCATTGCTTCTTGGTAGCAATCATGAGTGCTGGTGTCAGAGGCAGTGAAGAGACAGAATGAGAAAAGGCTTGTCCCAAGAATGCCTGGATATTGTTGTAGTTTTCTTGTGAATGAACGCTGTTCTGTGCTTTTGCCGATGGGAAGACCTTTGTGTGGGATTGAGGTGTGTCCTTGTGCAGATGGCACCCAGGGTCATGCTGTACCCAGGCACACATCTTGGGGTAAACCAGCATTACCCTGTGAGGGGGACACGTGTGTGTCTTCCGTGATACACGTCCATTTCTGTCGTGTGTTGCCCACCATAGCCTGCAAGGCTCAGGCCACCAGTCCACCCCAGCAGCGTGCGTGTGGCTGTCCGTGGCTAAACATGTGGGCCTCAAGGCCTCTCCAGGTTCTGTGGTGTCTCTGTTTGCAGCTGTGTGTCTGGTGAGTGCAGAGATTCCTTTTATTTCTGTATTGCGGTCTCCATACGCTGTTCAGCCCCAGCCCAGTGTGTCTCTGTGCTGTCTACACGTGTTTCTGGGAGACTGACTGGTCGGGTTCTTGTGTCATGGGATCCGGATTTTTGTATGCAACTCTGACATCTGGGTTTCTTAAGTGAAGGAAAGCCCGGGACTGATTCTAGGGGAATCTGCAACTCTGCAAGTGTTCAGTGAAAATGTAGTATGGCCCTCCCTGGTTCTGTTCTGGAACCTAGAGGGTTAACAGGCAGCTCTTCCGGTCCACCCCCCCCCAGCCGGTAGCTTCTTGTTGCCGTGGAGATGGTGGCCCCGCCCCTGATGCAGCACCTGCCCCCCCATTGGCTGCAGTGGTGACTGTGGGGCTGAGGGGGAGCCCAGGCCTGGGCAGCCATTCTGGAGCTGGAGCCGGAGCTCGGCACCCCCCCACTTTCATTCTCCTCCAGCCCCTCGGCCCCTGGGCCCCTCGAAATTCCCTGCCAGCAGAGCCTCAGCTTTCTTCCTCCGTGCTGCCGTTCTTCTAGGCCCTCGGCAGGCGGAGCCTGAGCCGCATTCACCTTCCCCCCCTCCTCTTCGACCCTTGCTCGAGGAGTCCCCAGCACCCCCACTGCCCATCTTGCCCACTCCCTGCCCGCTCCCCTGTAGTCTCTCCTTCCCCTTTCCGCCCGTTCCCTTCGGAGTCCCTGCCACTGCAGTGCACGTGGAGCCGGCTCTTTTCCCCCTCCCCCACCTGCTCCTTCCTTGGATTTTCTGTCCCTAGTTTGTGCTCTGCCACCCCTCCCGGGTCCCTTCTAGGGGCTCCCCCTCTACCCGGGAGGGAGGGGGTCATGGGAGGTAATCCGAGTGCTCCAGACGGACAAGGGTTCTGGGAGGTGCAGGGGAGGAGGACGATGTCCCTGTCCCGGAGGAGAGGAGAGCCTGCCTGCGGGCAATGACCTTTAACCCAGCTTCCCCCTCAGCCAGCCCATCTGGGGACTCCCGTCTTTATTCCTGGGGTTCCCCGACCTTCTGGCCATGCGCGCCTGCTGACCGCCACCCTCAGTCATGGGCTTGAGGCCCCCCACTCCGTCCCCCTCGGGGGGCTCGGGCTCGGGTTCCTTGCCCCCACCTTCCCGCCGCCAGCCTCTGCGCCGCCGCTGCTCTTCTTGCTGCTTCCCGGGGGGTAGGTGAGGCCGGTGCTGAGGGGCCGAGGGTGGTGGGCAGTGTTCTGGGGCCACGGTGCAACCCGAACCCGCAGCTCCGCGTCCGGGCGTGCCCCCTCCCCAACTGCTCTCGGGCCCTCTCCTGCCCTCCCCCTCCAGAATACCACTTGGGTCGCTCGCGGAGGAAGAGTGTCCCAGGGGGAAAGCAGTACAGCATGGAGGCCGCCCCCGCTGCGCCCTTCCGGCCCTCGGTGAGTGAATGGAGGCCGAGCGCCCGCCAGATGTGCTTAGCGGGCCCCGCCTCCAGCCCTAGCCAGAGCCCTGGGTGTCTAGAGGGTCCCGAGGAGAGCCGTCCTGTGTGTGCCTGCGCGCGAGTCCCCTCCGCTCTCCGGTGTCCCCCTTTTTGGCTCTGCCCCCTGCTTCTCAGACCAGCCCTCCCACCTTCTCCAAGCTCTGTGTGTGTGCGTGTGTGTCTGTGCACACACGCTTGCACCGCACCACACCGTGCCGTGGGAGCAAGTAGACACTGATACCAGGGCTTCTATCCTCTTTCCCGCCCGCCGCGTCACCTCCCATCAGGACTGTCCTCAGGCTGAGGGCTCAGTAGGTAGGACTGACCCTGTCCCGACCCACCCCACGCCATTGTCACCCTCAGCAAGGCTTCCTGAGCCGAAGGCTAAAAAGCTCCATCAAACGCACGAAGTCACAGCCCAAACTTGACCGGACCAGCAGCTTTCGCCAGATCCTGCCTCGATTCAGAAGCGCTGACCATGACCGGTAGGTGGGGGTGGGGGTGGGGCAGAGCCTCAGGAGGAGATGGGGACGCGGGCTGGGATGACTGATGGACAGGGCAGGGGAAAGACTGACGGACAGAGAGCTAGCTGGAGGCTGTGTGCAGGGAGGACCACTGAGGCAGGCAGGACATGGCCTGGCTACAGCCCAGGGTCAGAGGAGCCACACAGAGGGCCAGAGGAGGTGTGGAGGGAACATTGTAACTCCGAGGAAGGGGCGGAAAGGTCGAGGTGCGGGGGAAGGTGGGAGCGCAGGACATAGGGGTCAGTGGGCTGATGTGAATAAAGACCAGGGCTGGGGTCCGCACCTCTGAGGGACAGTGCAGAGCGGGAGGGAGATGGGGGTGCTGAGACAGGTGTGCAGTGAGAGGCGGCGAGCAGAGCCCGCGTGTGGATGCACAGGCTGAGGGCAGAAAGGGCAGCCCTGGGAGAGGTCGGGGGTGCCATCCCCAGGCTGGCTGAAGGAGACCCCTGGATCTTTGTCACTGGCGTCTGCCTGTTGGGCCCCCTCTCTGGGTGTTCCCCTTGCCCCATCACTCTCCTGGGAGAACCCTGTCCTTCCTTTCCCCTAGTCTGGCCGCCCCCAGGCGGTATCGGGCAGGTGCAGAGGTTGGGATGAGGTGACTCACACCTTTCCCTGCCCCCACCACGTCCCCGGAGCTGGATTTGGGGCCGGTGGGGGGAGGGGCGAGGGCATGGTATTCCTGGCCGCGGGGGTGGGGGGCCGGGGGAGCGTGGCGCTGACGGCAGCCAGCGCCTGTGATGACGGAGCTGCTATAAATAACTCCACGGAGGCTCCCACACCCGAGCTCCCCCTCCCGCGGCTCCGGCTCCGGCTCCGGCTCCTACTCCGCAGCCCCTGCCCGGCTCTGGTCCTCCGTGCTCTTTACTGGCGATTCACAGCGGGCTGTGCCTTGCACCCTTTCACCCTCCGCTCCCAGTCCTCCCCCCAGGCCTCTGCTTCGGGCTCTGCACCAGCCTTCACCCGAGCTTTCTACCTCTGGCCCAGCTGCCCCTTGCTGCCCACTGCTTTCTCTTCCTTCTCACTCTTTGCCCCTCACCCCTGCCCTGGTCCTTACTTTCTCATTCATCCGGAAGCAGAATCACGCAATGGTGTTCCGTAGCAATGGTGTTAGGTACCCTTGGTTGCCAGGTCTGGGCCAGACAGGTGTTTTGGTGGCAAGTCCGTTGCCACTGCTTCTCTCCTGTGTCTCCTGTTGCACTGGGGCTCTGGTTTCCTGGGGTCACCTGGAGGTCCTCCCTGGAAGTGTCCCAGGCCCCCCTGTTTCCCGCCACTCCCTGTCCCTTCCTGCCACCATTTCTGGACTGAAGTATTCCAGTGTCCCCAGACTTCACAATCCCTGACTAGAGATGAGGGAGCCCCTAAAGCATTCTGGCTTCTCTTGGGCCCCTCGTGTCCTTCCCAGGAGAGGTGGGATTTCTTCCCATGAGGCTGTGTGCGCTTGCACAGGGGCTCAGGAGAGCTTATCCTTAGGTCTGTCCAGAACAACACTGGTAAGACAGGGCCTTGGGTGTATAAAGAGAATGGAGGTCCTGACTCTCTCCATCCCAACCCCCCGCCAGGGCCCGGCTGATGCAAAGCTTCAAGGAGTCGCACTCCCATGAGTCTCTGCTGAGTCCCAGCAGTGCAGCCGAGGCCCTGGAGCTCAACCTGGATGAAGACTCCATCATCAAACCTGTGCACAGCTCCATCCTGGGCCAGGAGTTCTGTTTCGAGGTACTGGGTTCTCCTGGGTGGGGATGGCAGGGGGCAGGGGAGTGTGACCTAGTAGAATTGGCACAGGTGGGGATGTCGAGGTGACAGAAGGCTCCGGGTCTGCTTAGACCAGCAGGGAGGAGATGGTGGGGTCTCCATCCTGGGGAATTCTCCTGGAGTCCTGTCCCCTCAACCCTGCACACCCACACTAGGTGACAACGTCGTCAGGGACAAAGTGTTTTGCCTGTCGGTCCGCAGCCGAAAGGGACAAATGGATCGAGAACCTGCAGCGGGCAGTAAAACCCAACAAGGTACAGAGAGCAGAGGGGCCATGGCAGAGGGTGAGCCCCAGGGGAAGGGGGGCCTAGTAGTTGGCTCAAGGGGGGAGTTTCAGGGGAGGAGGAACAGAAGAGGAGGGGACCTGAGGGGGGGGTGATCCCCGTTTTGTGAATCCTTTGTTTCTTCTTTCTTTCGGTCCATATCGTCTGCATCCTGCTTCAAGGTCTGTTTCCCTGCCTGGGAGTCATACTCCGGGCGTGGCCACCCATCTCCTTGGCAGGCAGTGGGCAAATGTCCTGCCAGGTGCTCAGCTGGGCCCTGCTTTCGGGGCACCCTGGGTTCAGTTAAGTAGCCTCTGTACCTCAGTTTCCCCACTCACACTGGCAGGAGTGAATTTGGACAAGATGATCTCTCTCCCTGTGGCAGAGAGATGCTACACATTTGGATTCTTGGGGTTCAGTTTCTCAGGAGAGATACTCCCAGCTCTGCTAGCTAGTATCTGTACCCAGTTTCCAGTGAGCTCACAGCCCCGTCACCCTCCTCAAGGACTCTTGTTTCTTCACTGTGTTTCTTCTCTTCTCTTCTCTTCTCTTCTCTTCTCTTCTCTTCTCTTCTCTTCTCTTCTCTTCTCTTCTCTCTTACTATATGGGGGATTGAACCCAGGGCCTTTGCACTGAGCCTTTGCCTGGCCCTTTTTTTTTTGTCTTTTTCCTTTTTATCAGTACCGGGGATCGAACTCACGACTGCCTGCTTGCAAGGCAGGCGCTTATGTCGCTGAGCTAAACCTCCAGCCCCTGCCTGGCCCTTTTTATATTTTGAGACAGAGTCTCCATGAGGCGAGGTTGCGCAGTTGCCAGACTGGGCTTGAATTTGTGGTCTTCCTGTGTCAGCCTCCCCAGGTGCTGGGATTACAGACCTGCACCACTATGCCTGGCCTCTCAGTGTCCTTAAAGATCTCCATTCCAAACCAGGCACATGGTGCAGACCTCTCATCCCAGCATTCAGGGGACTAAAGCAGGAGGGTCACTGGTTCCAAGACCCCAAGCCATGAAAGGATGCTGGCCTGACCCAGCTCACAGAGTCCACACAGCAGGCTCCCTAGCAGCACTCGCAGGGTCGGCGACCCTCCCAGGAGTCACAGCCCCACAGGCCCCTCTCATGAGCTCCTAGCACCTCCTCATCCTGTGTTTATGCAGTTTGTTATCACCGTTTGCAGTTTCTGTCTCTCCAGGACTTTACCACGCTTCTCTCTAAATTCTGCTTTCATGTATTTGGTTTCGTTGGGCCAGTTTTTCCCTGGTCCTTACTCTGTTGTCCAGTTAGGAGCCACTCTCCTGTTTCCTAGGGGTGCTATAAATGTGACGACAAACTGGGATACATGAAGCAATAGAAATACACTATCTACATTCAGGAGCCTAGAAATCCAAAGTCAAGGTGTCTGCAGGGCATGCTTCCTCAGAAGCATTAAGGACAGCTTTCCCTTGCCTCTTCCTAGCTCTTGAACCCAGCGCCTCCACCCTGAGCTACATCCTCAGCCCTTTATTATTTTTTTTAAACTTTGAGACAAGGTCTTGTTAAGTTGCCCGTGTTGGACTCCAGCTTGCAGTCCTCCTGCCTCAGCCTCCCAGAGTGCTGGTGTTAAGGTGCACGCCAACACACACACACCATGTCTGTCTTTAAACCTCTCTCCACGGTGAAGACACCGGTCACTGGGTTACACAGCCACCCAGAACACTCTCATCTTCATCTGATTATATCTACAAAGGCCCTGTTTCCAAATAAGGTCACACATTATAGATGTGAAGAAGATGCGAGTTCTGGGGAGACCCCAGTCAACCCGGGACACTTCCCTGACCTCACTGGTGCTGACCCAACCCCACTTTCTCACTGTCTCCCCTCCTTTGGTGTCTGTGTCCCTCTGCCCCTTCTGTTTAACCCACCCCGCCCCCCCTCACCCCACGCCAGGACAACAGCCGCCGTGTGGACAACGTGCTGAAGCTGTGGATCATAGAGGCGCGGGAGCTGCCCCCCAAGAAGCGGTACTACTGCGAGCTCTGCCTGGATGACATGCTGTATGCACGTACCACCTCCAAGCCACGTTCAGCCTCAGGGGACACTGTCTTCTGGGGCGAGCACTTCGAGTTTAACAACCTGCCGGCCGTGCGTGCCCTGCGGCTGCACCTGTACCGTGACTCAGACAAAAAACGCAAGAAGGACAAGGCGGGCTACGTTGGCCTGGTGACTGTGCCCGTGGCCACCCTGGCTGGGCGTCACTTCACAGAGCAGTGGTACCCCGTGACCCTGCCAACCGGCAGTGGGGGGTCCGGGGGCATGGGCTCGGGCGGGGGCGGTGGCTCTGGGGGCGGCTCTGGGGGCAAGGGCAAGGGGGGCTGCCCGGCCGTGCGGCTGAAGGCGCGCTACCAGACCATGAGCATCCTGCCCATGGAGCTGTACAAGGAGTTCGCCGAGTACGTCACCAGCCACTACCGCATGCTGTGCGCAGTGCTGGAACCTGCCCTGAGCGTCAAGGGCAAGGAGGAGGTGGCCAGCGCGCTGGTCCACATCCTGCAGAGCACAGGCAAGGCCAAGGTGGGTGCCATGCCCAAGCCACGGGTGGCAAGGACCAGGTTGCGCCTAGCCCACGGAGACCAAGCCCTGGCTTCTCCTGGCCCCCCAGGACTTCCTTTCCGACATGGCCATGTCAGAGGTAGACCGGTTCATGGAACGGGAGCACCTCATCTTCCGAGAGAACACGCTTGCCACTAAAGCCATAGAAGAGTACATGAGGCTGATTGGGCAGAAATACCTCAAGGATGCCATAGGTATGGCCCGCCCCAGGCCCCCTCCCTCACCCTACCTGGCTCTCACCCACCCCGGCCCCCAACGTGGCTGCCCCCGCCCCCTGGCCACCCTTCCTCAGCACTGCAGCCACCTAATTCTGCCATTCTTCCAACCCAGGCAGCCCCCCACCCCTGCCCTTGGAAAGTGTGACCACTCCCTCCTTGTTGTGCCCCTACCCCCAGGGGAGTTCATCCGTGCCCTATACGAATCCGAGGAGAACTGCGAGGTTGACCCCATCAAGTGCACGGCGTCCAGTCTGGCAGAGCACCAGGCCAACCTGCGCATGTGCTGTGAGTTGGCCCTGTGCAAGGTGGTCAACTCCCACTGGTGAGACTGGGGACGCTGGGTCGGGGGGCCGGGGTCCAGGCAGTTGTGTGTCCATGTGTCCATCCATCTGTCCATCCTCAAAGAGGACTGAGTACCAGTTATTGGCTAAGCGTGGTTCTGGGCACCGTAGGGCAGACAGAGGCCTGGGCCTTGGCCTCAGAGGGCTTCCACGGACCTGAGTGGGGACAAAGGAAATGTGCAGAGAGCTACAGAGTCACTGTGGCTCGTGGAAGGTGCTGAGCCGGGGTCCCTGGGCAGGCGCTGGAGAGGAGCCGGGGAGTGGCGCCCAGGGCAGGGCTGGGAAGACAGGCAGGTGCCAGAGGCGGGGACCTCATGATGGCAGGAGCCTGCGCAGGCCCAGGAGCTCGGCAGGGAGCATAGGCTGTGGGATCAAGGTGTGGACGGGGTGGTGAGCATTAGGATATGGAAGGCCTCGGGTCCAGTTCCTTACAGGTCATAGCACGCCATAGAGGCCCTGCCCCAGACAGTGTGGGGCTGAAACTGCTCAGTGAGAGCGAGTCCCGGGGCCACCGGAGTCAGGGGTTGTCACTGATGGGTCAGACAGTGGCAGAGATGCAGAGAAGGCCCTCCAGGGAAATGCCTGGTGGCTGGGAAGGGGGGGTGGTGGTGCATAAAGGCCACATCAGGAGACTGCTGGCCTCCGAGACAGAGACAGATCCTGGGGAGTCGGGAGGAGCCAGCTGTAGGTGTGGGGGCGACAGTGAGCCAGCTAGAGTCAGCTAGTGGAGTTTAAGGTGTCAGTGGGACACGGAGGTGGAGCTGGGGGTGGGGAGAGTGAGCAGAGCCATCCAGGCACTGGGGTCACACCTTGGGCAAGTTCATCCCCATCTCCCTGGAGTCCAAAGAGTTGGGGGGTCCGAGCTCCCGGTACCTCAAGTGACCCTCCATCTCTCCCATCTCTGTCTCTCCCTGGTGTCTATTTCTCTTCTGCTCCTCTCCTTGTCTCTCTGGCCCACCCCTCCGTCTCTCTCCCCTGCCCCACTCTCCCCTGCACTCTCTGCCCACTCTGTCGGTGCCCTGTGCCCTCTGCCATGACCCCCTCCGCCCTGCCCCCGCCTCCTTGTCTCTCTGGCCTCTGTTTCCGTGCCCTCGCCTCCTGCCACCCCCCTCAGCATGTTCCCTGGAAGCTGAGGGTCTCTGGGGCTCAGTCCCGGTCTCTCTCTTTCTCTCTTTCTCTCTCTGTCTCCCCGCCCCTCCCCCCCAGCGTGTTCCCGAGGGAGCTGAAGGAGGTGTTCGCTTCCTGGCGGCTGCGCTGCGCAGAGCGGGGCCGGGAGGACATTGCCGACAGGCTGATCAGCGCCTCGCTCTTCCTGCGCTTCCTCTGCCCGGCCATCATGTCACCCAGCCTGTTCGGGCTCATGCAGGAGTACCCGGACGAGCAGACCTCACGCACGCTCACCCTCATCGCCAAGGTCATCCAGAACTTGGCCAACTTCTCCAAGTGAGGGCCGCTGCGCTTTGGGCTGCGGACAGGACCAGGGTGGGAGTGGGGATGGGGGGGTCTCCTGAGTCCCCCGAGACCCTGAGGACCGCTGCGCGTAAGGCTTTCTGCACACATGTGACCTCTGCGTTCCGGACCCGGCCAGGTTTACCTCAAAGGAGGACTTCCTGGGTTTCATGAACGAGTTTCTGGAGCTGGAGTGGGGCTCCATGCAGCAGTTCCTGTACGAGATCTCCAACCTGGACACGCTGACCAACAGCAGCAGCTTTGAGGGCTACATCGACCTGGGCCGGGAGCTTTCCACGCTGCACGCCCTGCTCTGGGAGGTGCTGCCCCAGCTCAGCAAGGTAGGGGACTGTCCACTCAGGCCACCCTAGGGCCCCCAGAAGTGCCGGAACAGATGTTTCTGCCTTCTGGGGCCAGGCCCCAGGGCCCCCCAGGTGACAGTCTTGCCCTTCCAGGAGGCCCTCCTGAAGCTGGGCCCGCTGCCCCGGCTCCTGAATGACATCAGCACAGCCCTGCGGAATCCCAATATCCAGAGACAGCCGAGCCGCCAGAGCGAGCGGCCCCGGCCTCAGCCCATGGTGCTGCGGGGGCCTTCAGCTGAGATGCAGGGCTACATGATGCGGGACCTCAACAGGTGAGCGCCCGGACCCTGCCTGCACCCCAGGAGCCTGACTCTCCCATGCTGGAGATTATCCCCACACCCCTTGCGCCTCCCTCTGGGGCTCGCAAGGAAGGGAAAAGACAGCAGGTCCTCAAGGGAAAATGGTATAGAAACAGGTACAGGCAGTGGGAGGCTGAGAGCCCTTCAAAGCCTGGGGGCGCAGAGACTGAGCCCCAGGGGGGCTCGACAGCCCCAGCTTAGATGTGAGCTCGGGGACTCCAGGGGTCCGTTCTTCCCGGGCTGGGCTCAGCCTCATGTGGGTGCAGGCATTGGCTGCCAGCCAGAGCTGAGCAAGCCTCCCCACCCCAGTCCGTCCTGACCTCAGCCCTCCCCCGACACCTGACAATCACTGTGCCGTAGCCCTGCTCATGCCGCCCCTCCGTGACACCACCCCCACATCCCCACAGCTCCGTCCATCCATCCACACCTCTCCTTCTCTCTGTCTGTGCTCGCCCCTCTTTCCATCTCCAGCTCCATCGACCTTCAGTCCTTCATGGCTCGAGGCCTCAACAGGTGAGGGGCTCTCCCCTCCCCAGCCCCCTTTCCGCTGCAGCACCTCATCTCCTCATCCCTCCTGCTGCCCCCATCACCCTCCCCCAGGGGCTGCACCCTCCCCTTCTGCCACTCCCCTGGGTGCCCCTGCCTGGCTCTCAGCCCTCACCCGTGGGTCCGCCTCTCACCCTGCCGCGACCTTCTCTCCCTGCAGCTCCATGGACATGGCTCGCATTCCCTCCCCAACCAAGGAGAAGCCGCCCCCACCGCCGCCTGGTGGGGGCAAAGACCTGTTCTACGTGAGCCGGCCGCCGCTGGCCCGCTCCTCGCCGGCCTACTGCACGAGCAGCTCAGACATCACGGAGCCAGAGCAGAAGATGCTGAGCGTCAACAAGAGCGTGTCCATGCTGGACCTGCAGGGAGATGGGCCTGGTGGCCGCCTCAACAGCAGCAGTGTTTCCAACCTGGCGGCTGTTGGGGACCTGTTGCACTCCAGCCAGGCCTCTCTGACGGCAGCCCTGGGGCTGCGGCCCGCGCCTCCTGGACGCCTCTCCCAGGGGAGTGGCTCCTCCATCACGGCAGCCGGCATGCGCCTCAGCCAGATGGGGGTCACCACGGACGGTGTCCCTGCCCAGCAACTGCGCATCCCCCTCTCCTTCCAGAACCCTCTCTTCCATATGGCGGCTGATGGCCCAGGGCCTCCGGCAGGCCACGGAGGAGGTGGCGGCCATGCCCCACCCTCCTCCCATCACCACCACCACCACCATCACCACCACCGAGGTGGGGAACCCCCAGGGGACACCTTTGCCCCATTTCACGGCTACAGCAAGAGCGAGGACCTCTCCTCGGGGGTCCCTAAGCCCCCCGCAGCCTCCATCCTTCACAGCCACAGCTATAGTGATGAGTTTGGACCCTCTGGCACTGACTTCACCCGTCGGCAGCTCTCACTCCAGGACAACCTGCAGCACATGCTGTCCCCTCCCCAGATCACCATCGGTCCCCAGCGGCCTGCCCCCTCGGGGCCCGGAGCAGGGAGTGGTGGGGGCGGCGGTGGGGGCAGCGGCGGGGGCCAGCCGCCTCCCCTGCAGAGGGGGAAGTCCCAGCAGTTGACAGTCAGCGCGGCCCAGAAACCCAGGCCATCCAGCGGGAACCTGTTGCAGTCCCCAGAGCCCAGTTACGGCCCCGCCCGTCCACGGCAACAGAGTCTCAGCAAGGAGGGCAGCATTGGGGGCAGCGGGGGCAGCGGTGGCGGAGGGGGTGGGGGGCTCAAGCCCTCCATCACCAAGCAGGTAGGCAAGGGTGGGAGGGAGATGCTAGGGTGGGGAAGAGCTGGGGCGGGGGTGGCAGGGTGCGGTGGCGGGGCAGGCACTGAGCTGGAGCCACAGCTTACTCCTCTCGCTCTGTCCCCACTGCTAGGGCAGTGGTGAGTGGATGGCATCACAGAGCTGCAGTACACTGTGTGCTCTGTAGACCCCAAGGATGCAGTGGTGGACAGAGACAAAAACGCCCACTCTCATAGCGCTGTCCCTCCTCTCAGGTCTAGAGGGGACAAGGGCCAGAGCAGGGGGACAGGTCTGAGGCCTTCGTCTCTGATGGCTCTATTCACTCTCGAAACATACCTGCCTTCTCTCCTTTACTCTCTTGGGTCCACGCTGCCTGATTAAGCATTCTCAGACGCCTTCCACGCTGAACCCCACGATGCCAGCCTCGGAGCGGACCGTGGCCTGGGTCTCCAACATGCCTCACTTGTCCGCCGACATCGAGAGTGCCCACATTGAGCGGGAAGAGTATAAGCTCAAGGAGTACTCCAAATCAATGGACGAGAGCCGGCTGGACAGGGTACAGTGGCCCCCACCACCCAGACCCCGTCTCTTTTCCCCACCCATGGGGGAGGCCTCCCGCCAGTGCAGGGCAGACAGCCAGGCTCGGGCACTTGTGCACAGGAAAGTGCAGGACCCAATGCTGTCTCTTGAGAAGGCTCTGTTCAGCCTGTTGCAGGAGACCAGGTCTGTTCAGTCCATTTGAAAGTCCATTCACCGTTTCCTGGATTACATAGCTGCACACTGCGTGAGAGGAGATATATTTTATCTCGGGCCCGTTCTCCCTCCGGACAGCTAGCGCCCTGCTCCTGGCACTGCTCAGGGGAGCAGCTGCTTTAGCAGCAGTGGCAGCTTCTCAGTGGCGCGGGGGCCGTATTTGGACAGCACAACTGGATGATGTGTCCGGGGTGAGACTGGCTATGTGCGTGTCCTCTTCAGAGGGTGGGGGAGGCCTCGAAGGTAGCTTTCTGTGTCCCCTGGTTCAGATGCACAGACCCAGATGGGGATTCCGGGTCCCCTACGCACATTGGGTGTGGCTCATCAGTAGAGCAGATGCTAGGCATGCCCGAGGCCCTGAGTTCGATCCCTGGGCACTGACTCTGAAGTATTAAAGCAGCTGCACATGTGAGGCACGTCCGTCTTCTTGAGCACACCAGCATGCTCTGGAGCCAGAGGGCAGATCAGAGGATTCTCTCTGAGTTCTAGGGCCCAGAGTTTTGGGGCTTGTGTTGACAGAGGGGTGTTCCTAATGTCTCAGCTGGGGACTCAGGACAAGCTGTCCCCGGACACAGCTGGGAGGGAGTCACGTGGCACAGCAGCCCCAGACCCCCATCCAGTGCCGCATCTTCCCGTGCTTCCTCCAGGTCCTGCCCTGGCTTAGGAGCCTCTTGGCCATTGCTCCCTGGACACATTCCACTCACTCAGGGTGTCCGAGTCTGGGTCAAGGGTGGGTCCTCCTGTGTGCCCCTGGCTGTGTAAGGCCACAGACAACACTCAGTGTGGCGTCTGAGACCCTGCTCCACCTTGAGGATGCCCCTGCCTTGTGGCAGAGCCCCCGGGATGCTGGGCAAGTGTGTCCCTCGGGCAGGAAGAGGGCTGTGTGCTCCTGCCCATGCAGTGCAGACACAGATGGGGCTGGTGGCTGGGCTCAGGGCAGGTGCCCTCATAGTGCGGGGTCGTGTGCCCGGCGGGCAGGTGAAGGAGTACGAGGAGGAGATCCACTCCCTGAAAGAGCGGCTGCACATGTCCAACCGGAAACTGGAGGAGTACGAGCGGAGGCTGCTGTCCCAGGAGGAGCAGACCAGCAAGATCCTGATGCAGTATCAGGCCCGCCTGGAGCAGAGCGAGAAGAGGCTGAGGCAGCAGCAGGTGGAGAAGGACTCACAGATCAAGAGCATCATCGGCAGGTGAGGGGCGGCCCGGGGAGGGCTCGCAGGGAGAGCCTGAGGTCCGAGGGAGCTGGAGAGCCAGGTTCTCCTCCACCCCACACCCCACTCAGGGGGACGGAGAGCTGCTGCCCTGGGGCCTCACTTGCCCACCCGTCACCAGGAGGGGCAAAACCTGCCTAGGGCACCGAATGCCGTTTACTAAACTTGGTGTCTGCCTGACCTGATCATACTCCTATAACCTGTGGAAAACACCTCATCTTTAGATGAAGCCTAGGCCAGGGCTCTCCACAGGTCATTCACAAGTCAGCCTGTGAGGTTCACCCCAAAAGCTAAGCAGTGAGTCCCAGCCAGAGGAGCCCCTGAGCACCCCATTCCAGGCCAAGCCTTTCCCTCAGCCTCTGAAGGGGCTTTGTGTCCATGCGTGGCTCCAGCTGCACTGCGAAGGACAGATCCCAGCAAAGGGCTGGTTACCTGGAGAGCTGAGGGTGGGGCTCCCAGCTCTGCTGCAGCCAGAGCTGGCCCCGTCTTGATCCATTACGTATTTCTCTAAGGAGTCCTTGATATGAAACCTTTTTTGAACCCACCATTCTGAGATGCTTTGTGGGAAATGGCTCTGAGAACCTTCATCAAAGGCAGGAGATGCTGGGAACAACAAGGATCGCTCAGGCCTCTCTGGGCTGGGCGCCCAGGGGTGGTCAGCGAAGGTAGCCTCAGTTCACCAAAGTGGTATGGAGTCAGAGAAGCCAAGTCAGCCACAGAGTCTGAGGCGAGAGCACTGCTGTCCCCATCTGTTGAGGAGGGCTGCAGCCCTCTGGTGACAGAGGTCTTGGAGGCACCGGAGGAAGCTTCCTCAGCAGGGGGTGTGAGGGTCCTGAGAGGGAAGTGCTGAGCAGGACTGGGTGGTGCCAGAGGAGGGATTCCAGGGAGAAAAGAGAGGAGACCCAAGCCTTTCCTGGGGAATGACAGGGCTTCTGGGACCAGTTCTGTGGGCGGGCTCGGAGCCTGTGCCCGCCACTAACCCCACTGAAGCCCGTCCCTTCAGGCTGATGCTGGTGGAGGAGGAGCTGCGCCGGGACCACCCCACCATGGCTGAGCCCCTGCCCGAACCCAAGAAGAGGCTGCTCGACGCTCAGGTGGAAATTACAATGTCATTTATCTTCTCCGTGTCCCATCCCCATCCATCCCACCGTCCTTCGTGCACTCACCACGCCGGCCAGCCCAGCCCGTCGCCATCTGTTGTCTGTCCACTGGCCGCACCTTGCGGCGCCCCTGGTGACCCATCTCCATCCCATCGTCTGTGCCTTGGTCACCCCCGGCAGTGTCCACCCACCCCGTGCCTTCCTGCCCCTCCTCCCACCCTGTCCTCCTCCTTGATCTTCTACCAGTGCCTCGGCCTTTCCACCCCAGAGCCGCCTGCCCCCTTCTTTGACCAGGGCCAGGGGATGGCCTTCCTGGCTTCCTCTGAGCTCTTCTTGGGCCTAGAGTGCTAGAAGTCACTCTGTGCTGGAATGGCGCACGGGGTCCCCTGGAGATGCAGGGTCTCCGTCACCCCTGTTCTGGTTCCTGTCTGACTCCTTGGCAGCCTCCTAGCTTCTCTCCTGTTTTTCACAAAGCCTCCCCTGGAGCTCTCTCTGGGCATGAGCCCAGCCCCCTGCTGAGTTCCCTCCCACCCTGGCGCCCGCTCTGCCACACACCTCTGCTGCTACCCTCTGCCCCGGCCGCCTTCCAGGCCCTCCTGTCCCTCTGCACCCTCAGCCCTTGCTCTCCTCCCTCCTCTGCGCTGACCACCAGGCCTCCCTGCTCTGCCACCAAGGCCCCTGACCCCGTGACCCCGCTCTCTCCCCCTGCAGCTCCTCATCAGGTAATTCTCCTGGTTCCGCTTTGACCACGGGCGGAGGACACAGGGGGAGGTGACTCCGGACCACTGCAGGTTGGTCATGAAGCCCGCCCCCTCCGACTGTCCAGAGCCTTTCCCTTCACTGCTGCCCCCCACGGACCCCGCACCCCGCACTGTCCAGCGAACACACCTGCCCCCCTCACCTCCGCAGTCCCGCCCCACCCTACACAGCCCACTTGGTAGGCCACACCCCTCCAGACTCCCAGCCCCTCCTCACCGCGCCCTCCTCTTCCTCTGCCTCTCCAGTGTACGTCTGTCACCCCCCATTTCACCAGAGCGTCCTTGGGAGCAGGGCGTCGGGTGGGTTTGTGAACAGGGCAGGAGCGGGTGGGTGGAGGCCCTGGCCATGGGGGCCATGCGGAGCGCAGCAGGTAGGTCGGGGCTTCCTCCTCCTCCCTCACTCGGCTCTCTCTCACTTGTCCTCTTCCCTTCCACCTGACAGCCCACTGCACCTGGGGCTTGAGGGAGCTCCCCAGGGGAATTCGGCATGACAGTTAATTCAGAGGGATGTAGAGGGGTGCCCTGGAAAGGATGCCGTTGAGCTGTCCTGACAGTGGCCAGGGCGTGTGAGAAAGGAAGAAAGGAAACCTGGACAGACATAGGACTCGGCTCTGCCCCTGTAGCTGGGGAGGCCGAGGCGAGGAGAGACCTTCCTAGGTCCCTTCAAGGGCTCAACAGCTGTTCGGGTTCCCAGGCACAGACGACAGGAGCAGCATGTTGGATAACTTCTGTTCCTTTTTTTCCTGTCGTTTATTTTTTTGAGACAGTGTCTCACAATGTATATAGCTTAGCCTGACTTTGAACTTGTAGTGATCCTCCTGCCTCAGCCTCCTGAGTGCCAGGATTACAGGGGTGCATCTATTCTTGCCATAACTCACATCCCTGGGCTGCTAATGCCACGCACTCCCCCTCTCCCACCATGCAGGGGTCTTGCCTGATGCATCATCCTGGAAGCTGTCAGACATTGTTTCTGAGATGCTGCTTCCCAGTGGGGTTGAGCTGCAGTGGGCAGTGGCCCTTCACGCTGTAATTTTAACTCTGCCAGCCGGGCCCCTGTCAAAGTAGTCAGTGATCACTACACAGATGCTCAAATGCACCAGGGGACCTCACTATTTCAAGGGCTCCTGCAGAGAATTCTTTGTAAAATGAATAACAGCACCCTTATTTATCTACTTTCTAAATTTGGGTCCACGGGGGTGTTGGGGGCATGCCCGCGCCAGAGGGAAGGGAGTCTGAAGGTTCCTTCCCTGCCCCCTGCTGCACTCAGCGCCTGGCCATGCATCACTTCCTTTCCCACGGATGGTGAGCTAAGGGGGCCGCTTTGCCTAAGGCAGGGGTTCATGTGACCTGAGAGGTGAGTTCTGGGGCATGGCCATCTGGCCAGGTCTAAATGCCCTGCAGCCCAGAAAGTACTTTGGACATTTCTTCTAAACCACCTGCAGGCCATTGATTGAAAATTTTAATTTTGAGGCCAGATTTTTTGAAAAGCTACATGTGTGCCCAGAAGTGTGTGTGGGGGGTGGGGACTTGAGTGACTCCCTTCTCTCCCTGCAAAGGAACAGAAGGAACCAGCAGTTGGTCTGAGAGCCACAGGAGGAGATGAGAATAGGACTGGGGTGGGTGTAGGGTCGGGAGCCCAGGGAGAAGACTGCGAGGAAAGTGGGGGAGACAGGAATGGAGCCCCCATCTGATGTTGTGTTTGAGGAGATGGCCACTCTGAATAAGTGACAAAACTGACAGTGTGTATTTAATGAGATGCATGTCTTCAAAATACATCCAGGAGGTAGCCCTGGTGAGCAAGGCCTTTTCCCCTGCAGCCCCAGGGAGCAGCCCTGGGAGTTACACGGGATTGGAAGGGCTGTTAGCTGCCGCGGTGAACACTCCTCCCACAGACACATGCCCACCCTCAACTCTTAGCACACCCTTTCTTCCCAGATAAAGGCAAACCCAGGCCCAGGTTTTGTGCCGATTACCACAAAATTCCAAATCGGCAGGGGTTTGGATTAATGATGTTTTGCTGTACTGCCTCCCCTGGTTCCTCAGTGAACGGTTCCTGCCTGGGCCGGGGGCGGCCCGGAGAGCAGTGCCCAGAGGAGGGCAGGGCTGGGCGGGCTGGCTGGGAGCACGGAGGCGAAGCCTGTGGGCCGAGGCTGGGCGCGCTGGGGAGCGCGCTGCCTTTGAGCTGGTTTCCTGATGTGACGCTGGGTTGGAGGCCTGCAGGCCCTAGTTAGGAATGGGGTGAGTCTCCCCGTCCCAGGGCGGCCTGTAGGTGAGAAACAGCAGGAGGCGGAGACTGCGGGGAGGAGAGGGTGGGCGCGGTGTGCGGAGGGGCGGCTGCAAGGGAGGCCGCTGCTGGGGTCCTGCAGTCAGGCCCCCGCGAAGCGTCTCAATAAGTCCGCGCTCTCCTCTTTGGTGTCTTGCAGGAGAGGCAGCTTCCCCCCTTGGGTCCAACAAACCCGCGTGTGACGCTGGCCCCACCTTGGAACGGCCTGGCCCCCCCAGCCCCGCCCCCCCCACCCCGGCTGCAGATCACGGAGAACGGCGAGTTCCGAAACACCGCAGACCACTAGCCCGCCCAGCATCACAGACCTCCGCCGCCTTCCCTGGGCCCCGCCCCCGGAACAGCACCAACCACCAGGACTGGACGTCACCGAGGGACAGCGGGATTGGGATTGCCTCCCTGAACGCCTCCTTGGGGGGCATTGGCTCCCCGCCCCCATCGCACCATTGCCAGGAGGGAAGGGGGGACCCTCAGTTGCCCTCTTTTCCTTCCTGTTGGGGTGCTGCCCCCTCTCTGACCCCCAGGGACCCTTGCCCCAAGACACCCCCTACCCTACACAGACCCCTCCACTCTGGGGTGCTATCCCCATCCTCTGCCTCATCGTTCCCCTGAGCACTGGGGGACAGACCCTCACCCCCACTCTGGGGGTGTGGCACCTCCAAACTTTCAACTTCAGGGTGATTTTTTAGCAGTAACCAGAGCTGACAATCTAACTCCCCTCCACCGCCCCATTGTGGCCTCCCCTGCCCCCCTTGTTATGGGGAGGGGACCCCGGGTGAGGGGGCCCTATTATCCCTTGATTTCTCAGGAGCGTCTGGGGGGGCTCAGCACGCACAAACTCCTCCTCCTTCCACTCCTAAAGTTACTCCCTCCCCACCCAGAACCCAGATGGGGTGGAGGGGGCCACCGGGGCAGGGAGGGGGCGGCAAGGGGGGAATGGGAGCGGTCTCCCCTTCTTCTCACACCTGATCTGCTCTCGGCTGGTCCCAGAGCGGGGTGAGGGGGCTTATGCCCCCCCCTCCCCCAGTGTGTTGGGTGGGGTGGAGTTGAGGTTAGGGCCAGGGGTTAGGGTTTTGGAGGGTGTGTTGGGGGGGAGACAGGTAGTCAATCTGTTTTACCCCAACACACAGTCTCCCCACTCCTCCTCTCTCTCGGTCTCTACTCCCGGGGGGAGGGGGGAACTTACTCTAGGAAAAGCCATGTCTCTCTCCCCCAGGGTGGGGGGGACCTGCGTTGGAGGAGGGGTGTTGGGGGGCCCCCTTCCGTGACTGTCCCCCCGGGGAGGTAGGACAGGACTGGGCTTCCCTCTCATCCTCTCCCCTGCCCCAATCTCCTTCCACCTCCCTCCCTCCCGCCAGTCCACAATTTTTCGGTGTTTCTCTGTACATAGCTCTCTGGCGGGATAGGGGAGGTAGGACGGATGGGGTTTGGGGTGGGTCGGCCTTGGGAAGGAAGAAGCCCCTCCTTGGTAACCCCTCTTCCCTGACTGCTGTCCTCTACCCAGCCTTGTTCCCTCCTCTCTTGCGTTTGGTATTGAGACTTCCCAGACTCCACCCTTTCTTTTGTATGGACAGTTCCCCTTCAGTCCCATCCCCCTACACACATACACCCAGCCGGGGCCAAATTTATACTTATATAAAAGTTGTAAATATGTGAAATTTTATCCCTGTGCCCTCTCTGCTTTCCCCACCTCAGGCCCTGCCCTAGGACCCCCTTCCTCCTCTTTGGCTGTTGTAATTATCTGGGGTTTGTACTGTACATATCCGGGGTGTGTGTGTGTGTGTGTGTGTGTGTGTGTGTGTGGGCTGGGGGCGACCCCTCTGTACAGAGCTTCCTGGCCCCCTCCTCCCCTGTCCTCCCTCCTCCAAGGGTAGGAAGGTGCTCTTTCTACTCGTTTTATTTTGTTTTCTCGTTCTCCCTCCCGACCCTATTCCCAGCCTTCTCTGTCCCCAACCACTGGCCCCCTTTCTCCCAGCCCCATTTCCTTTTTTTCTGGAGTGTGTGGTGAAACAAAAATCATGTTTAATAAACGGAGATTGTTCTTTTATCGCTGCGCTGACTTTCTTAAGCTGGGTCTCCGGGCACAAGTGCAGGGGACAGAATCTCCCCCTGGATAGGATGCTGACAGCCTGGGGGCAAGGGCACAGTCCCCTTGGATGTCACTCTCCCGGCCAGCGAGTTGGAGCAGGAGTAGTGTTGGCCACGCCCGCCCGGCCAGGCGCTTTCACTGAGCCTGTAGGAGCAGAGGCAGCACACATCCTCTCCAAGGGATCGATCGCCTGGAAATAAAGACTTGCATTGTTGGGGCTGGGGATTTAGCTGAGTGGCATAAGCGCCTGCCTTGCAAGTGTGTGTGGTCGTGAGTTCGATCCCCAGTACCGATAAAAAGAAAAAAAAAAAAGACTTGCATTGTTAAAACGCTACGGTGCGAAGCAGAGGAAAGAAAGCACCTGGTTCCTGGACAAGTCTGGGTTCCCGATCTGCCACCCGCCAGCCGAGCGGCTGCCCCAGGGTGGCCACACGTACCTCGCCAGGCTGCTGGGAGGACATAGGTGACCAGCGATCTCACTCCTCTGAATGCCCACCCGGACTACGGCAGGCGCTACGCTTAATTCCCCGGGAAACGCTGCCCGCTCGGCCGGTGCAAGCCCGCGGCTGCCGGCTCCCCTCGACACCCCATCCGCAGACTCCGGGACCACCGCCTTCCACAGGCCCCGCCCCGCCTGCCCGTGCAGCCAATCAATATGAGGCTTGTAGGCCTTCGCGCGGCGATTAGCTGCAGCCTCAGTCCCGCCCTGCGCTCCCGGCTACGGTGTCCGGCGAGGAGGCGGTGGCTTCCGGCCGTGGACGGCGTGGTAGCGGCTGAGGTGCTGCGAGTCCAGCGTCGCGTGCGTATGTAAGGGCGGGGGCGTGTCGGCGGGAAGGTGGCCGGCCCGGCCTCGTGGTGTCTGGGTGGCCGAGGGTTCCCGAGAGCTTGCCTCTGGGCGCGCGCGAGGCAGAGTGGGGGGCGTCTGCGGCCGGCGAGGTCGCGCTCCCGGCCAAAACATCTGATTTCCGCCGAGCTGAAAGTTAAAACCGCGGTTGGTGCGCTGTTTTTGTTCTTGGTGGGCAAGACTCATGTACGCCGATGCTGTCGCAGACCGAAAAGTTCCCAGGTTGTGGGGGAAGAGGTAGTTTGAGGTGACCTGTCTCCTTGTCTGGGGCTTCTGTGACCTGCATCTCTTTCTGTCACAGCCATTGTCCTGCGTAAAGTGTCCCCCCAAACTCCCATCTCTTTACGATCCTCTGGGGCCCCGCCTGAGATGATGGATTCTTCCACGCCTCTGCCTCCTGAAACCCTGTCTCCGATGTGCAACCCAGCCCCACGGACAATTCATATCGCCTTCCCTCGGCACAGCTCGTTGTTGCTGGAATCCCTGAATCGCCACAGGCTGGAGGGAAAGTTCTGTGATGTGTCCCTGCTGGTGCAGGGCCGGGAACTTCGGGCTCACAAAGCGGTGCTGGCTGCTGCCTCCCCTTACTTCCATGACAAGCTGCTTCTGGGGGATGCACCCCGACTCACCCTTCCCAGTGTCATTGAAGCGGATGCCTTTGAGGGGCTGCTTCAGCTCATTTATTCAGGGCACCTCCGCCTGCCAGTGGATGCTCTGCCGGCCCATCTCCTTGTAGCCAGTGGCCTTCAGATGTGGCAAGTAGTAGATCAGTGCTCAGAGATTCTTAGAAAACTGGAAACTTCAGGTAGTGGAATTTCAGCCCGAGGAGGAGCCTCCTGCCACACACTTCTTTCCACCACATCGTCTCCAGGAAGCTGGTGCATTCGTTCTTCCTCTTTCCAGACCCCAGTGCAGCCTTCCGCTGCTACTGAGAGTCCTGCCTCTACTGAGAGCCCCATTGGAGGGGAGGGCAGTGAACTGGGAGAAGTATTACAGATTCAGATAGAGGAAGAAGAGGAGGAGGAGGAGGAAGAAGAGGAGGACCAGGAGTCAGCAGCCACACTCTCTCAAGCTCCTCAATCTCAGAGAATGTCCGGGAGTTTTCCCTGTATTCGTGGCTCCCACCCAGTACCCGTGTCTACTACTCCCCACAGGCTTCCAGAGGGCGAGAGTGCACCTCTTGAGCCTTCTGCCTCTCCTACACTGCCCCCTAAAATCTTCTACATTAAGCAGGAACCTTATGAGCCTAAGGAAGAAATAGCAGGAGGTGGAACTCAGTCTGGAGGAACAAAGGAAGAGACCAAAGTATTCCCTGGTGGGGACTCTGCAGACAATGGGGAGCTAAGGTTTTTGTTGCCCTCAGGAGCAGGGGCCACATCTGGAAGTGGGGGTCCATCCTGGAAACCAGTGGATCTTCATGGGAATGAAATCCTGTCAGGGGGTGGAGGACCTGGAGGGTCAGGGCAGGCTGTTCATGGGCCTGTGAAGTTAGGGGGAACACCCCCTGCAGATGGAAAACGCTTTGGTTGCTTGTGTGGGAAGCGGTTTGCAGTAAAGCCTAAGCGTGACCGGCACATCATGCTGACTTTCAGTCTTAGGCCCTTTGGCTGTGGCATCTGCAACAAACGCTTCAAGCTGAAGCATCATCTGACCGAGCACATGAAGACCCATGCTGGGGCCTTGCATGCCTGTCCCCACTGTGGCCGACGGTTCCGAGTCCATGCTTGTTTCCTTCGCCACCGAGACCTGTGCAAGGACCGAGGTTGGGCTACTGCCCACTGGACTTACAAGTGACTGTTAAGGTTGTACTCTAACTCCTGCGACAAGATAGTCACTGCTGCTGGTGGATAATTAACCTTTCCCTCCCCCAGCCCTGTGTGTTGTAATCACACCAAGAGATTAGATGTATTTTGGACTTCTTATTCTCGAGTGTGAGCTTCTACGTGGTAGATGTAAAAGCTCCAGGTTTATCATATCACAAAGTTTTCTGTAACCATCCTATACAAAAGTAGTGTATGGGACATCCTTAAATCACTCACTCGCTCCTAATGGAAATTTATAGTTTTATAGTGTTAGTGTCTGTGGGGGAAATTAGTTCAGATTAGAAGATTATTTGTAAAAGAAGAGTTAGAGCAAAACAGAATAATAAAATGTTTCAATTAGTATCCATGAAGAGTTAAAGGAGCTGGTCTCCGACTGGAGATATCTGATTCGGAGCTCAAATAATTCAGATTAGGCTTTCCTCTCCCTGTCATTGATGATGATGTTTGAACAGAAATCGTTTTACATATTTTTGTTTGGTATATCTTTCCAGCAGCCCTTCAGATTGAATTTTGCTTTCTCACCAGTAGATACTTTCCCAACACTTTTGTAATGTAGTTGAGCACTTTAACAAATTGAGCGTTCCGTATGTCATTTATAGAGTCCTCTTTACTAGGAGGTATTCCCTCACCAGCCTGTGCCTCTTGGCTGCCTTTCATCACCACCTATAACTTGTATGTTGATCCCAGTGTTCAGTGTGACCAGTGAACTCAGGAGATGGCAGCTGACTAAAATGTGCTCAGGGTAGCAAAGGTGCTCTCTAAACCAGCTGCCATGGTCAGAGGGACCCGGGACTGAGGCCACGCTGGCCGAAGGCCAGAGAGTAACTGCCCAGTGGGACCGCGCTGCCTCCTTTTCCATCCCGCATCTGTTAGAGATGGCCCCTCTGCTGAGAGGTGGACGGGTGGATCCTGGGATGGGAGTGCAGGGAGACTCAGTAGTTACTTAATTTCTTCAAATAAACTCTGTCCTCAAATCTAACTTGACAGTGGTCAGGTTGAGTGATTTGTGTGGAAGAGATGCAAGAACAGAGCTGCAGAGTAAGTGCTCCTTTTGCAGCCAGCTTTTGCTGAAAGCAGAATAGAATGTTTTCACAAACAGCCACAGAACGCTGACTTGGATTTGGACCCTGATCTGCCACTGAGAAACCTTGGGCGAGTTACCTTTCAGCATCTGAAAACTGTTAGGATTACTTGGCTTCCTGTCTTTTTTTTTTTTTTTTAAATAGGGATTGATCTTTACCTGCAATCCCCAACTTCCTTATTAGGTTCCAGTGTTTGTTGTTTGATTTATAATACCAACACTTAGTGCAAGGCTCTGCTCTCAAAAGGTTCATGCCCACCGCTGAAGCTAGACAGCTAAGGACAGTGTGGCATAAGAAGTCCACCATGGGGGCAGTACTGGCTGCTTAGTGGCACAGAGGAAACTGAGTAAAGACCTCATTTATAAAACTCTGCAGAGATTTCACAAACAGTTCTTGCATGACCAGAATGTGGTATGGGTGATGGTGAAAAGGAGCTGAATCCAGGACCAGGGTGGAGCCAGCGTGCTCCTCAGAAGTTGCTAAGTATGGGTAGCGTTTAGAGAAATGTGACTTTGTGGCTCAGAAGGTGAACTTCAGCTGGGATTTGTTGGCCTCTCAGGAGAGATGGCGCCATGGTCCCATCTCCCTGGTAAGGACTGTGAACATAGTAGGAAGGAGATAGGCAAGGAGCCTGCCCTTTGGTGCTCACCGATCCCGCCCTTCTGCTGTTGCCGGCACGCACTCTGTGGGTGTAGGTGAGTGTGTCCTTTGGCAGTGCAGGGTGTATTGGCCGCAGGCTGACCCTGGCTGACCTTATAGAAGGAGAATTTATGGAAGAATGGTGTGTGGCACCCAGAACAGAAGGAAGGGCTCGAGGACCAGCATTTTGAAGAACAAGATCAGGACTAACTAGGGTTCATGGAGCAGGAATTCTTGTGCGTGTACTGGGAGGTGGTGGCTTGTTGGGTTTTTTCCTTTTGGTACGCGCCTGGGCCTTGCATGTGCTAATAAGTACACTCTTCTGTGAGCTGCACCCCCAGGTCTGATTCCTGTTTCTTGTGTCACAGGTCTAGAGACTTAAATTTCCTGGAAGAAAACTTTGTGCATGTCTGTTCTCTAGCCAGAGTACTTCTGCTCTGTCACCTGTTTATATGATGCACGTGCACCAACTCCCTGTGATAAATGTGATCAGTATTCCAAATATGGGCTGATAATTTTTTTTTAAGAAAAAGAAGAAATAACGCAAAATACATGGCAACAATAGAACCCATAATGTCACAGTGGCAGCAAAATGGGCATGGAATCTTCAAAGGGTTATTGGGCTCTTGGGACAGCGAATGGAGAGTGTACTGCTCAGCCCACAGCAGAGAGGCTGCACCCTAGACAGTGCTCCCACTTGTTACCTATTGGGGGACCCTTAAAACCAGCTGTTCTTTGCATTTAATGGTTGTCCAAGAAATATCAGACTTACTAGGTGCTGCATGCAGCACTCAGGAGGCTGAGGCAGGAGGATCACTGTGAGTTTGAGGTCAGCCTGAACTGCATAGCAAGATCCTGTTTCAAAAACCGGAAAAGAAAAAAGAAATGTGAAATCTGCCAATTCTATGAAGCCAACTAAAATCCTTGTTAATTTTCCAAGTATTATTCTGAAAAATCAGTTTCATGATAAAAGCTCTTGTTTTCTGTCTAGCCCTATTCCCAGAGCTCCCTGAATTACCTCCTCCTCCTGTCCTCATCCTCTGTGTTGCTGTAGTTCCTCATCAATGTCTAATCGCACTCGTAGGGTTGTGGGCATGAGTACATGTAAGGACTTAGCCTTGCACACAGTAATCCTAGGTGGTGTGAGCTTATACTGTGTGGGTGAGTTCTGTTGTCATCAGTTTCCCACACCTGTACTCAGATGGGTTCTCCCAGGAAGGAATGCATGCATACGGAAAAGTATTTTCAACCAAGCTGAGCGTGATGGTGCACAGCTGTGATCTCAGCGCTCAGGAGGCTGAGGCAGGGGGACTGCTTCGAGTTCAAGGCCAGCCTGTACTACATGGTACATACATACTGAGTCTCAAAAAACAAATATTTTCAATCAAATGGACTTAGTTGTATAGCATTTAGTA